CCCTAAACTCTGATTTTTCCTGGCCCGCCGGCTGGCACTCACTGGGATTTTCGAGCCCCGGCCTTCTCGTCCCTCATCGATCAAAGGCTTCCATCTAAGAGGTCTGCTTATCTAAACTTCCGGTGTGTAAGGCGGATTTTTTTCAGGTTATAGTGTAGAAAGAATGGGTATGGGCCCCTTGGCGAACACTCCGAAGCTCCATTTCTCCACCCCAGGCCCTAAGGAAACTGAACCGTTGGCACAAACAGGCGATACAGGAATCTCAAGCGATCCGGACCGTAACATGGACGCTAACCGAATCGTGAGATCCTTCAAACATGCGCACGGCAAACACAGGAACCCTAAACCCTACTGTAAAAACCCATACTTATTCATGGGGTCATGGGGCCCCAGCTCCAAAACCGGTAGGACGGTTCGATGAGTAAGGGTTCCGTGCAGCGCTCCCTCATGTCTTTACAGTACAATGCAGCACAAAACCTCTTTCTTTCCATTCCGAAGGACGTCATCTTAAGACATAAGTAGATACGTAGAACCTAAAATCCAAAAGATCCCCGAAGCCCGGAACAAATCACGGAATCAGAGCTGAGCTGTGGTTCAGAAGGTCGGATAGTGCGTAGGATATAAAACCGAGACTAAGAAAAGTGTTCTAAATGGTGCCATGCTGCCATACTACGTATCGTCCCCTGAGCCTACTTCAAGTAGATCCTCTGAACCCCATATCCTGAAACCCCCGACTTCAAAACCCTACAAACTCCGCGACGAACGCGCGATTATGCGATTCATTGAATGAAATTGCGAACAACCTAAACCCCAAACCCCTAAACCCTCCAAAGCCCATGAATAAACCCTATAAACCCTATAAGCCCTATAAACCCTGATAAACCTGTGAAGCCCCAAGGACGCTTTGAAGACCCTGAATTATGTATGATTACAATAAGGAGCCCTAAGGAATGATCTTAGTATTTTTTCCGACCTGTACGTTACACCGAAACCTCGCCGGGGTTCTCGTCTGAGTGAGACAACGCAGCACTGTGTAGGCCCGGAGAGGTAGACTTTGGAATGTAAGGGGCTTTAAGGGGTTTTGGAGACGTGGGGGTGTGAGTCCTTAGGGTCAGGGTTTAGGGGTTTAGCGTTTAGGGCTTGGGTTTTAGGGTTCGGGGGTTTAGGGTTCGGGGGTTTAGGGCTTGGGGTTTAGGGGCCGGGGGTGAGGGTTTGGAGCAGGGTTCAAGGCTCTACGGTGTCCGAGGCTGTGGCTTCAACTGGGTGCAGCATTCAAGGGTCGGGCCCGAAAGCGTGGAGCCCCTAACACTGCAGCCGCAGAGCCAATAAACGTTGAGGTGAGTATAGGGTTTGGGCTTCAGGCCCCTAAATAGTTCCTTTTTGGGATTACCTTATAGGATTTTCAAACCTAAGCCACAAAAAGGAATTACTTAGGGGCCAATGGGTGGGCTTCAGGCTAGTGAAAGCACAGCGTCGGACCCCAATGGCACAGGCAATTTCCCCGCCATCTCGGCAGACAAGCAGAGGCGTGGATGCAAAATGAATAAGAACAGTAACAATAATAACAACAATAAGAATCATCGCAACAATAATTGTACTACTTATATGACTTATAATAATGACAGCAATAATAGCAATAATAACAGTGATCATACTAACAAAAAATAATCAGAAGAATGATCACAGGGCCTCATTGCTGGGCACTGAGCCCAGAGAAGAGGTCACGGTGCCTCAGAGGAGGGGCAAAGGGCTGTAGGTTTCTGGGGCTTCCAGGAATTCTCTGAGGTTCTGCAAGGGTCCAATGGCCCAATTTATTAGGGGCTCTATGGGGATAAAGGGTTCCGTAAGGGAGCCTTAGGGATTTATAGGGTTGAAAAGAGGCTTGAAGGGTCCAAAGGGCTCAAATGTCAAAGGCCCAGTAATAGTCAGGCACTTGGGTTTAGGATAGTAGTCAGGTAGGTTCGCGTTTGGTAGTATGATGATGACTAGGTATGTGGACCCTGAGAGGCTCGGAGTTTTTACCCTAAATAAACCCCAAACCCAAACCCAAAGCCTGAAACCCATAATCCGAAGCTCCTAACATATAGTCTTATATCTCAAGTCCAAAGGGTCCTAGATAGTAGAACTGACTGTTATTTATGAGTTGAGAAAGCATCCCCAATAACGGTACCTAGGACCCTTTGGGCAAGGAACCCTTATCCCTCCCCTACCGCAGTGGAGACTTTCTGTACGCTTTTGGCGGCTTCGGTCAGAGTGGCCTTGGTCAGGGTTCCTTGCCCTTCTGATTCTGGGCACTTAGAGACCCAGGAGACTTAGGACATAGGGTATAAGTTTAGGGTTTCGGGTTTAGTGTGTAAGTAGAGCTATAAATACCCTAAATAGAGTTACCCCAGTGATCATCCAACTTATAACCGACTGACTAAGTCCCCCTGGGGCCTCAAGCCAAGTACCTAAACCCCAATAAGCCCTAAACTAAGCCCTAAACCCCTAAACCCTAATCCCCAATAAGCCCTAAGCCCGAAACCATTTTTAGGGCCTTAGGGTTCTCGGATTCTTCGGTGCCTATGCGCTTCGCAAGCCGAACCCCTTAAGGGTTTAGGGTTCCTTTAACTGCAAACACCCGAAGAGGCAAAGCAGAGGCCCCTGCTCACGTAGGACAGGTCCGGAAACTCCTTTTCAGGGCTTTTGTTTTTTTTTTGGGGCTTTGGGCTCTACCCTCAGGGTCCATGTACTCATATCGTATATACTTTGGCCTTAACCTACCTAGGTTTTTTGGGTACTACTTCAGGGCCAAAGTAAATAGTCTAGTATCTGGGAGGGTTAGGAATTGGCGCTGTCGACTTTATTGTCTTTGCGTTGAGGTCTTTCAGAAGTCTTGGATTGTTGTTGTAACACCATATACTATACGACCTTTGTGTTAACACTAACTAATACAAGCCTTAGAGAAATCTTCAAGAATCATAAAAAGCTTCGCACTAGACATCGCATTGAAACCCAAACAAAAGCACATTGCAGCCGCTGGCGGGGTCTCAGCAGCAGATCTAGAAGTCTATTTTGTGGTGAGGGCTGTTTATGTCTGTTAAGTCAAGTCAAAGCCGACAAACCCAAGTCACACCTTAATCCCAAATGGTGAACCCTAAACTCTCAAACCTACTTCCTAAACCCTAAACCCTCAAACCTACACCCTAAAGCCTAAACCCTCAAACCTGCACCCTAAACCCTAAACCCTCAAACGTACACCCTAAACCCTAAACCCTCAAACCTACACCCTAAACCCTAAACCCTCAACCCTATGGGGTTCAGGACTTGGCGGCCCGAACATTTGGAATGGGCTGCTTGGGGTGCACAATACTACAGACGGTCTGGGGTTTGGGAGTTTAGGGTTTAGGGCTTAGGGTTCACAATGCTCTAGAGAGTCTGGGGTTGGAGGGGGTTTAGGGAAAAGGGTCTAGGAACAAGTCCAACAAATACTGTTAACGTACGGAGAACCCAGGAATACTACTAAGCTATAAGAACCCAGCAAGTTAGAAGGTTGGTAGTAGTGTTGGATCTGGGCTTGGATTTGCGCTTTTCTTTGTGGCTCAGGGCTTTGACTTCGGCTGAAACTTGCTTGGACTGGTGAGTTCGGGCGATATAAAGCAATATCAGCAAGGCAGCATGAGGCCTCGCCCAACGTACTGTCTCTAGCTTCAGCTCAAGATCAAATTCGTCACATCTCGCCAATGCACTGAGGATCAGGTACCCATAGGCTCCTAAGCAGTTCCTTTTTGGGATTACCTTATAGGATTCTAAATATAAACCACAAAAAGGAACTACTTGGGAGCCTATGGGTAGATGGCACGAACCCCTCACACCCTAGCCTGAAACTCTCGGCCCAAAGCCCGATATCACTGCACACATCAATTCCTAGATTCCTAGACGGGCTTAAGGTTTAGGGTCTAGGGTTAAACCCTAAACCCTAAATCCCAAACCCAACACCAACAAAAGAAAACCCATAGCCCCACAGCCCTAAAGCCTACACAGTAAAAGGCGAAAATCCATCCCTAAAAGCTTCGCCAAAGGTCCGTTTGGAGTGACCCCCCAAACGAGAGCCCTCTTGGTACCCCTTATGATAGAAGCCTTTAACCCATTATCCTAATCCCTATAAGCCCTAAACCCCTAAACCCTGACCCCTAATCCCTAAACCCTAGTCCCTAAAACCTCCCCTCCCCCTAAACCCTAAATCCCTAAACNNCCCCCCCCCCCCCCTCCCGGAAGCTCCTTTTGGAGATATGAGTTGCCCAGGGATTGGATCTGGCCCTGGTTGGCCTCTCGCGATACTTGCCTGGGCTCCCGGGGCTTTGAGGTGCCCAGACCTTCCAAAATCCCCCTGAACTCAGGGAAGCTATGATATAATGTATACCCAAAAATCACATAGTCTATGATGTATCATACAATTATATACCAAAAACCATATCAGGGATCCTCCAAAGTGTATTCCTGAATTAAGTTGGAAGTTTTTGGGGGTAAGTTCTGTGGGTCTTGGTAGGGTTTAGGGTTCTATAGGGTGTTCAGAGGTCTGCGTGCGGGCTCTGCTAGAGTTTGGTTTTGGCTCTGGGCTTCAGGTTGAGGGTTTGGAGTGAAGCCAATTTAATACAGGTCGCTGGCATCCCCTTGTTTCAGAAGCGTTTACTGCGATGGGTTTTGGGGGCCCCAAGAGCTTTACATTGTTGTACCCAGAGCCTCTCACACTCCTCAGGAACATTGTAGCTGAGAAATCTACCCTAGTTTAAGATGCGCTGCCTGAGGCCAGAGGTGCTGTTTGAGAGTCTCTGGGCAACATCTCTTGCTTGTCATCACTGACAAGATCGGGGTGTTCGATGCGGATTCGGGTTTTGTTGCAAGACTGCCCTCAGCGCTGCACTCCAGCTTCTGTGGTGCTGTTTAGGGTTCAAAGACAAGGCCTCCTGAACCGCGAAAGCCTACAGACCTACACCCGAAACGCCGCTGTGCCAAGAAGCTCTGGATTTGGTCTACGACATCCATGCCATTCTCCAACACCTATGGCGCACAATGGCATAGTTCAATGTAGTCGGTTATAGTACAATTATAATATCATGTACTATACTACTAGATTATATCAATTATATAATATTATACCATAACAAATATATACCATATCATAACATACGATAATACTATACTACATAGCATGGGAGCCCAGGCTTGTGAGGTTCAGGTCCGAGTTGTGCTCTTGAGGGGACTCGGAAGAGCCCTTGTTTAGGGTTTAGGGTGTTTAGGGTTGAGGGTTTAGGGTTTATAAGGGTTTAGGGGTTTAGGTGTTTAGGGTTTAAGAGTTTCGGGGTTTTCTCCGCTACTTCGGGGACATCTCACAAGAACAACCCCATCCCTCACCCCTTGTAGCCCTTAAACCAACTCTTGAAGGAAGCAGGTGCGCACTTGTTCGGGTTCCCCGGCCGGGCAACTGAAGCCTTGTGTGGTCTGAGTTCCCGGTCGTATTTTCCTTCAATCCGAAACTGTAAACTCCCAGAGAAGATACTAAGCTTACCCCTTGTAGCTTCCTTTCATATCGCAAGACCCAGGGATGCTGTTCTGAGTTGCTTCCAGGGGGTTGAAGCGTGTTTGGACTTTAGGGGCTTTGGGCCTAAGCGTCCTGGCTAAAGTCCGGGGTTCGGGGGAGTAACGCTGGGCCTTCATGTCCTCTTTGTCCAGGTCCATCACCCTCATTCGTCTACATGGCTACCCATCGGCTCCTAAGTAGTTCCTTTTTGTGGTTTATATATATATATATATTTAGAATCCTATAAGGTATTCCCAAAAAGGAACTACTTAGGAGCCCATGGCTAATGAGGACCGGCAAGATCGAGCTGCAGCTCCATCTCACTTCCCGGCTCTTCTGCGGACGTTGCAGGAACCTCCGGCAATCTGTTTTGTCTCTCATGCTGCCTGCGGCATCATGCGTCATCGTGACTTTGACCAGCACATACCGGTCCGGGCGCTTATACCAAGGCACGCAGCTGCCCAACCGTACTCGTACCAGAAGAGGCCCTTGCTCTCGCCAATGGCCAGCGTCAGTCCACGCGGAATGCGTTTCCTGCAGTCTCAAGCTCTCGAGCTGGCTTAGGGTTAAGTGGTAACCCTTCTAGGTTCTAGGTGCCGCTATCCTAGACCGAAGCCGTGGAAACTCCCTTCCAAACCCTTGTAAGCCTTACGTATAATTCATGGAGCCCTTGCCAAAACTTATCAAGACCCTTATATCCCTGCACTGTATGCCCCAGGTAAGAATCGAGTAGGATCCTACGCAGCTCTTGATCAAGCATGTCGAAGACCCCATACCCTAAACCCTAAACCCTATACCCGAAACCCCTTCAAACACCCCTTTAAAAAAAAAAGAGGCGCTCAGACGTGGGGAGGCCTCTGCGAAGGGCGAGAATCCCTGGCTGTCCAGGAAGCTGTTGTCCTCGGAAGGCTTAGGTTCAGGGTTTAGGGTTTACGTGGGGGTTTGGGGTGGTTTTTAGGGTTTTGGGGTTTTAGGGTTTTAGGGTTCTGGGGCTTAGGGATTAGGAGTTTAAGGTTTTTATTATGGTTTCTGATGCAGCGGCTGTTTTTTGGTTTGCGGCTTTCCGATGGGCTTGTAAGAAGGATGCTACAGGGCTGTATGGGGTGGTTTGAGGCTTTGGTTTAGGCTTTCGAGTCATGAGAGGGTCCGGATGAGGTGACACAAAACACGAAACCAGGCATCCACAAATCCACCTGGACCCTGCATTTGGTGTAGTTTGAAGCTTAGTGTATGAGCTCCCCCCCCCAACAAAACAAAGGACTTGTAGGGTCCAGGTGAGGCCTCCAAGCCTCACGCCCTGAACCTGTCGAAGCGACACCGAGCCCTAAACCAGTAATAGGTATTTTGATGCCCTGAACCGCAACCAAAAAAATATAAGACACGTAGTAAAGAGCTTTTGAGAAACCACCATGGGGGGTTAGAACTTCCGATAGTGGGGGGGGGGGGTAGAACTTCAACTGCAAACTTTTGCTTCCGGGTTCGACCCTAAGCCCTAAGCGATAAAATTGCAAAAACTCGTGGGAGCCCCACCCCTGCCCCAAGAAATTGATACAGGGTTTAGGGTTACTGACGGTTACTGAGTCTTCGGAGCCCTTTGCGAAGTTCTCTGTGATGGATGCGGGTTGTAGGGTTCTTAGAGTCAGGTTTCAAAGAGGACGCATAGAGCTTGATGAGCGTGCTGTAGTGGCTGTGGGTCCAGCCGGAATGGCCCCTAAAAACTCTGAGGTGCTTATACCACTGGAGCAGCCTGGACCTGCACTGAAGGCCCCCCGCTGTGTCTTTGACCTTTTTGCCATGAAAAGACACCTCTGTAAGACCAGAACGGAGGAATTCAACACTAGGGCTGATGATATAACTTCTGCATTACCCATAACAAGGGATATACATAATTCCCATAGTTTCGGGTCCTTAAGGTAATGCAGTATTTATATCATC